TTTTATTCCAAGTCCTGACAAAACCAACAGACCAACCACAATCCTTCAACTTGATACTGGAGAGAGATGCGATATTGAAGAGCTAATGTGATTACCTCCACTTCAGCTCTGTACTGGGACACTGATTCCATTTCTTCTTGCTCTGAAAACACGGTTTGTTACGTGTATATTGAGAAAGTGGTTTTGTACTTCTATAAGGATGCCTGCAGCTGCTTCAGCATACATGGACTCATACTCAGTATCTTCACTGCTGGCTGCTGAAGGGCTGCTCTGGCAAAATCCTCTCTCAACATTAATTTTTGCTGAAAGTATTCCCCATTAGATCGTTTTCCTCCTTGCTACTGGATTTGGTACAGCTCTACACACAGGAGTGGAGCTACAACAGCTCTGCTATCTCTGCTTTTAAGAGACAGTAATGGCCTTTTCTCTGTGATTTACCCAAATTAAACACCTCACAACTTGCCTTGCTTACCCCAATGTGAGTACACAAAGTGGTTTGTTGTTAAACACTGTGCTTAACTCTGTGAGGAAGATGTAACGAAATTAACGCTGTGTATATTCTGGCTATTTCTTTTCCTAAAATGGCACTCAGAATGTGGACAGGCTTCAGAAGGACCATTTTTATTTTAAGCCTCTGAAACATCCTCTTATTACAGTTATCATATATAGGCCTACTCTAAAAACAAGGTTGTAGCAGGTTTTTCCAGATTACTTTAAAAGTTTGCAGTAATGCCTATCTTTGTACTGCCCCTGATTTACTTAAATGTTTTTTTTTTCTTTTCCTGATTATCAGAAGAAAACAGGCAAGATGGGACAGAACCAGCACCAACTTCTCCATCTTGTTCTTTGAGGGGGGGGGAAGCCACAAGCAAAGAATAAGCGCAAAGCGGTCCAAGGCAGCCAGCTTTAACTTTCACCCGAGGAGAACGGGGGGCAAACGGCACCGAGCCCTTCTCCTTCCCAGCCCTTCTCCTTTTGCTCCGCTTCTCTGCTAAAAAAAGCGTGAGCGTGACCCAAACCGCACTCTAATTGCGGGCCCTCCAACGGGAGGGGGTCTGCGGGCGCCTGGGGGCCTCATCTCCTGCTTGGATGGGTGGGGAGGTCGCAATTAGCAGCCGGCGCGGAGCGGGGTGAGGGATTCTCTGACCTAATTAGGGAGGTGCGGGAGCGCTGCTCCCCGGCCCCGCTCCCGAGGATGCTGCGCGACCCGGGGGGCTGCGGGGGGGCCGGGCAGCCGCCTCTTCCTCCTCCTCCTCCTTCTCCTCCTCCTCCCGGGCAGCCGGCCGCCCCACGGGGGTCTCCACCGCAGCCCCGGTGCGGGGAGGCGGGGGGCAAGGGACCGGTCCTCCTGCGGGTGCCACCGCGCCTGAACGGGCGGGGGA